ATTTTTGGGGAAAAGGGTTTTTTCAAAAGGGGGGTTTTTTCCCGAAAAACCCCCCCCGGGGGAAAAAACCCCCCCCCCCCCCCCCCCCCCCCCCCCCCAGTCACATCGCTTTCCTTGACAGGCACCTCCCTCCTGCTTGGCGTCTTTCTCATATTCGTCTTGACTTCATTTTGGGCACAGGATCAAAAGACTACGCATGAAAAAGCATGTCTGCGCAAGATCCCGCAAGGCTTTTACCTTCGACACCCTCGCGTCCGAGCTACCCATGTCGCTTTTCGAAGTGATGGTGTATTGGACATGCCCCTCAACTTTGAAGCGACCTGTCGCCAGTATCTCGAGGTGGAGGGCTTGACGCCGTCTCGTTTGACCTGTCGCTTTTGCAACGAGCCCAACGAAGACGCCGTTGCCGCCGTTCTACACGAGCTCAAACACCTCTTTGCCACTTTTGAGGAGATTGTGCCGCGCGCGTCTCGATCCTCGTCCGAGACACCCGTGACAGCAGCCAGCGACCTCGATGCGGCTCGCGACATCCCCAGTCCCGACTTGGAGCCAGTCGACACAGACAACGACGATCTCGAAGGTGACATGGAGGAAGAGATGGACATTGGCCCTACTAAAGGCGCCCGCTCTCCAGATGTGAAACGTCCCAAGCCCCACCACGCCCGTACCAGCAAGAAAAAACTTGCAGCCAAGAGCAGCCGCCTGGGGCCCAGCAGCCCCCTGGCCAGTGCGGGCCTGATTAGCCACAACAGTCACGGTCCGGTTGCCAGCTTTGCATACAATGGCACGAACAACGGTGGTGGTCTCGGTCTCGGTCTCGGTCCTGGTCCTGGTCTTGGTCCCAGTCCTGGTCATGGCAAAGGTCCTGGTTATGGCAATGGTAACGAATTGCCCGTACCTTTGCCTCAGATGCATCCGGCCATGTGGTCGGCTGCCGTCATGAACTTTTGGCTTCAGAGTCAATCCCGTGGTCAGACCATTCCGTCGTCCCACGTACCTTCTTTTGGACCCGGAATGCCCTTTATGATGTCCGGGCCCACAGGGGTACCCATTCCGCTTCCCACCACCTTGGCAAGCCAGGGTGCCCCCATGGGCGACGACGCACACTCGCCTCAAACGACGCTGGCTTAGTTTCCCCGTCAGTGTTGTTGGGCTTATATGTGTGCTCGCGCGTCTAAACCCTAGCTTTATGTCCGTGTCCTTGTTTCTGTATGTCGTTGTCCTTTTTAGTTATCGGTCTTGACCTGCGTTGTGACTTGCTGCCATAATTCGCCGCTTTTACTTGTGTACTTGCGCAGCCAGGTCGAGGCTAGCTCTCAATCACCCCGAACCCGTGTTTTCTTCTTTTTTCGGTTTCTTTCTTGTTGGTGTCGCAACCAACAGTTGGCCCCAGTCTTAAGGACGAGCGCGGCGCTTGTCCGGCTGTATGGCTTTCTTTTCCCAATCCTCGTTCTTCAACCTACTCTTCTCTTCTTATTCAACTCTCTCGCTATTTCTCCCTTGTCTTGTTGCGGCGCCCGCCACGTGTTTCATCGCTTGCTTTGTTGTTGGGCATAACTGTGTTGAACTCGCAATAGTGCTCTACTGCGAACCAATACACTGCCTTTTTTTTGAGTTCTTGTTCGTTCTACTTCTGGGTCGTATCACACTTCCTCGCCATATCTGGTCGCCTGTCTTGAGTGCAAGCAAGCGCATGACATCATGCATCAATCCCCTCCAGGTCCGCGCTTGCCTGGCCCTCGTTCTTGCGGCTAGGGTGTTCTTCGACCCTTGTCGTCTGTGTGCATTTGGAGAACCTTGATCGTGGCAAGCGTTTGTGTATGTTGAGGTTGTATTTGAGTTACACGCATTCAAGTCAAATTGCGTCTAGAGCCGACATACACCATCGCATGCGCTCGTCATCTCTCCGTCTTTCTTCTCGATCGATCAGCGTGAATAGTGTTCAGGCTTGTATCCTTTATCCCCGTGGGGATCGGTCTAACATGTAATCAATAGCAAATTAACTATCAAAGTGCATTTTGTTCAATTGTCGTGATGATTTGGACTGACTCAACTACACGCCTGAGCAGCCAATGAGCTGAACACCGCGCTGTTCACATTTGCGCTCAGCCGCGACCGTGACGCGAAGACAGCCCCAAACCTCAAGGCGCTCCAAATGCGGGCACGCCCGCAACAATGCGTCGACCTTATCATCATCCATCTGAAGCTCACGGGTGTACGAGAGATTCAAATTCTACAGGCATTATTACAACGAACATGGCCATGGGTGTTGATGGACCACAATTAGGAGGGAATGAGCGCGCACAAGACAGGGCCTCAGAAGTCAAGTCGGGCTTGCACTGCGCGAGGGAGTGAGCCACCAGCGCCAACACTTACGCGCAAATTCTTTGCATGCGCTGTCAACAAGTCCAGCGTTTGACTTGTCACTTTGTCCACACTGTGCAAGTTAAGGCTTTGAAGTGCCGCAGGCTCCTGCAGCAAATGTCGAACACCCTCGTCCCCCAGCTCAATACAACGTCCAATGTCCAGCTCTCTGGAAATTGGAAACGAGCCATCAAGCAAGAGGGCAAAGCAAAGTTAGGAGGGTTGTCATACCCAAGGAGGTTCTTGATCCTTTGCGCATGCCGACAAGAGTGTGAATGTTAGGCCACGTACTTCAGATGAGCGCGTGTCGTCGCCCAGTGTTGGCAGTCCTCGTCTAGAACCTCGTGAAGTTTGGCCATGCGCAACGTCTCCAAAACAGGGCAATGGTCAGCTACGGCTCGCAAAACGCCCCCAGTCACTTGCAAGAGCCTAAGTCATGACCGTGTACACACCCGGCAGCAGCAAACGGAAAACATGACATGAGCATAAAAGTCTGCAATGTCACCATCGAGAACCAAAAATCACATGGGGGTACATGTCGTGACAAGAACAAACCCAGAGACATCGAGTGCTTCGAGGTGGCCACCAACGGCCATGAGCAAAGGCAATAGCTGCGGTACCAGGCCCCGAAAGAACGCACGCCGCACAACAGTGCACAAGAATAAGATCATGGAGACCGGCTGGCCAAAGTCCCCAATTGAAGCTTCAGTCTTGAACAGGTCACTCACCCCATCATCCGTCACAAGCTCGCAACTGCGAAGCCCCAACTCCCGCAGGGAAGAAAGCGAATGCAAATGCACTAAATCGGTATCCGTCAGGAGCAAGAGCGAGTCCAATCGGAGGCGCGACAGGTCTGTGCTCAAAGAAAAGAAGAAGAAAAACAAAAAACAGAAACCACAGACAGAGAAGTCAGAGAATACGTTGCACCGTCAAGATCTTGGTGCCGCGCAGCCAGTGCATTTGCGCAAGCTGGTCTCCTGAAGCGGCCGAGCCATCGGCTGTGGAGAGTAGGCTTGTCTTACGCTTCAAACGACCCAAGGCTTCGACGAGACGGGGGCCAACTTTGGCGTTCCACCCGAAGCTGAATGTGTGGAGCTGGGGAAGCGCAGCCACGGTCTGGGCAACAGCCTCGTCGCTCACCTAGACACCCAGAACAGCCCCAACGGCACGGCAAACCGGTTCTAAGACTTTCCACCCTACGCTTCATACTCCAACAACGACTGAAGCGATGCCCCTTAATTTGTATTCCAAAGGCGAACCTTATGAGCACCGTTGAGGTTCAACTCGGTTAGATTCGGCAGATAGTCGCCAAAGTTTTTGACCATCTGCGAGCCACGCGATCGGGAGGAAGCAGAGAAGAAGAAGAAGAAAGGAAGAAGAAAAAGGAAGAAGGAAAGGAGGAAGGAAAGAAAGCAGATGAGAGGTCGAAAGCAACGCACGCACTGCCATGATCACACCCGAGCATGCACGCCAACAAGCTGACTGACCTCATCCGTAAGCTGGCCGGCGCATCGGATGTCGAGGCAGGTGAGATTGGCGCATCGCATGTACAAGAGACGGTACGCGTCAACGTCGATGTCAGCGGCGTCATATAGCACCAGCTGCTCGCGCGTGGGTTTGAGCAGCGGCTGAAGCGTCGTGGGTGACAACTGGCGGTTGCGACACATCAGCTGACAGATTCGGTCCAGCACACTTTCCGCAACATCTGCAGACGTGCCAACCATGTCAATCATGATGACCATGACAGCCACAAGCATCGGATCCGGATGATAATGCTGGGGCAAGCTGGGAAAGAGATGCAATGACTGCACCACGTACCGCCAAAATCATCAATGTACTCGATGTATTTGCAAACGACCCGCACACACATTTCCTCGAGACTGACGACGTCACCGCCCAGCAGCTCATGCAGCAGAGTCCCGCTGCGCGCTGTCAGACATTCAGGTGAGGGGTCATAGCCCCGGTGACCAAGTAATGGAGATGAACAAAAAGCCAAAATGCGCGGCAAGTTTGAGCTGACAGCACATCAGCACGAACCTTTATGGCGTTTTGCTTCTGCTTTGGTCAAGCCTGCGACGGTACCTTGCTGTGCAATCGCCACGTTGCGCATCGGAACGGAGAGTCGGAAGCAGGAGGAACATGAGCATAGTCCAGTACAAAATCGAGAAACAAAAATAACTGAGAAAAAAAAAGAGGTCTTAGAAGAAGAAAGAAGGAAAGGTCCAGTGTGCCAGAATGCAATGTGCCATAGACGCACCAGTTGTCGATCGCGGCAGGCTAAGCAAAGCATCTCGCCATGCGGCAAGCGACAACCACAGCGGCCGCAGAGACCAATGTTGGTGCGGTCAGGTCCACCATCGCTGTCATCGTCATCGTCATCGCTTCCATCAAAGTCATCATCGGACGACATTGGATCGCCACCCCCACGGGTGCGGCGCCTTTGCGCTTGAGCTTTGGCTTTGGCTTTGGCTTTGGCTTTGGCTTTGGCTTTGGCTTTGGCTTTGTCTTTGGCATTTACAGTCGTCTTTGCCTCGAGCGAGGCTGTACTAGAAGCCATGTCATCCTCCGCTGCACAAGCATTAGGACAGCAAACATTGGCACAACACGGCGTGAGCAAGCTGGTCCGCATCCAAAGCGCTATCTTCAGAAAAGAGCGTACCTGCGGCGTCTGAGCGAGCCAATTTCCCAGCAGCTGCCTTGCTCAAGGCCGCTTCCACGCGTCTAGTGAATGCCATCAGAGTTGGTTCGACACGTTTGTGCACAAGAATCAGAAAAGCCGCCCCAGCCGGAAGCACGGAGGGGGTGGGGATGACCTGTACAGACGCAAGGGTGCCAATCAGTAATCACAACGGGTCAATACAGTTCATACCGGCTACGGCGAGTCGCGTGGTCATCGTCTGGCTCGGCAGCGGTCAATGCACCTCGCGCGGCGCCCCGTAAGGCACCCCGCGTAGTCGGTGTATGGTTGAGAACGGCGGTGGATGATACCGCTGCCTCTGGGTCGAGCTCCTCAGCCCCTTGGCTTGCTTCTGGCTCCTGGGCGTCAGCTTCTTGGGTTCCATCTGCCGTGTCGTCCTCCTGATCGACGGGATTGCGTTGAGCTGGCTGAAAGCGCGCTCCACGCGGCGGCGCCCGAATGCCCTTCTCGCGCAAGAAAGAGGAGAGCGCACTCGTGGGTCCATTGACCTTGACATGCTGTGCAGTCGGCGCTGGTTCAAGTGTCTAGTAGCCAATATTAAAAAGTGGTGCAATGAGCATCTTCCCGCGGACCTGGTAGGCGGGCTGAAATCAATGACGCAACGTACTCTGCGTCGCACGCTGTTACTCAGGGATCGACCTGTTGCGATTCGAGCCACGTCCACACGGCGTTGCGCGGCAATGCGTTGTGCGTGCTACAAGCAATACAGCAGCAAATGGGGAAGCGTCAATGCAAGAGCTTATACGGGCAGACGACAAAGTTCCTATGCAATGCGCTGCACAGTCACGAACCGACATGTCAGCCTCGGCTTGGGCGGCGAGCGCCTGAGCTTCGCTGGCACATTCGGGGCAACGCCAGGCACCCGTCTCGGTCAGATCGAGCCCATTCTCGGCTTGGGCACATAGAACGTGCAGAGCCTATTGGCACAAATGCAGATTGAGTAGCGCCCTTGCTTTTGGTCTCATCAAACCACAGATCCAATTGCACACAAGCAAGTGCGCACGCAAAGTGGGAAAGGGAAGAGGGGAAAGGGGAAACACATGGGCATGATCATGTATGGACGGAAAAAGGTCGTGACAGGCAAGAGCGTCGATGACCCACCTTGTTGCAAGTGTTGCACACAAGTACATCCCCGCTTTGACCGCAAAAGGCACAACTGCCAGGGACCAGAGGCAGTTCTGGGGCTGCGGGTGCAGGTGCCGAGGCCGCAGCAGTTGATAGTTCAGATGGAGCGTGGGCTCTTGAGGTGTCGGGGTCCGATTTTGCCTGTGCTTCGTGTGTTGTGCTGGCTTGTCCCACTGTCTCGGCCCGGGTCTCCTCGGCCTCGGCCTTGATCGTCGGGCGCACAGCGCGACCAGAGTGATTGGATTTGACTGTTCTTGTCGTCTTGGCAGCCTTGGCAGCCTTGTTGGCTGTTGAAGCACCTGCACGCCGCTTCGAGCCATTTTCAGAGGCAGGCGGAGTAGCTGGCTGCGCGCGGCAAGCAGGGCAAAACCAATCAGCGTCTTCGGCCGCCATCTCAGCTTTTGTCACCTGGGCACACCTCGGATGGTACGCCTATGTTCAGCGGGCGATCAATGAGGCCCACCAGCCAACGTAACCTGGAAGTTCGGGTCAAGCAAGCACCGCACGTACCTTGGGACAGCCGTCGCAACACACGAGAGTGCCGCGGCGCAGACAGACCGCGCACTGATCGTCATTTTCGTCCTCTGACGCCATGGCAGCGAGCGTGCTGGAGCCCACGTCCAGCCTCGTTGCCTTGACCCCCAAAAAAAAGGAAAAAAAAAGGTATGAAAGAAGGATTGAAGATGCCAATGGGCTGCCGTTGGTACAGCACAATCTACAAATTGGGCAGCAGAAATGTGCTGTACGAATGTCGATCACGCCGCGTGGTGGGTGGGGCCCCTCCTCGCTCCTCGACGGCAGCCAGAGAGAGAGTGAGTGTGTGAGTGAGAGAGAGAGAGAGAGAGAGAGAGAGAGAGAGAGGGTCTGCAATCTCTCAGCGGAATCAAACCGTCCGAAGGCGAATTGTCAGCATCATACCTGTTGTAAAATTGAAAAGTTTAATTAGGAGGATGATTTGAAAATTTCAGATTCTCTCTCTCTCTCTCTCTCTCTCTCTCTCTTTTTTTTTTTTTTTTTTTTTTTTTTTTTTTCCGTTGCGGTTGAATGGGCAGAGCATCGCTTGGACTGCTGCGGCGAATAGGAGCTGACCTCAAACAAATTAAAGCTGCGTAAGGGATTCAAGCCTTTGTCCAGGCGCCTGGCGCACCCTGCTGCCTCACCGCGGATTGGCTGATTCTTTGAACGCCGAATAGTTCGCAGGTCGGGTTGGCACACTTCAGCAGGTCACCATGGCAGTGGCCGAGGCTTGGTGTGCGCTGAATGCACAGCTGACCAGTCACGGCCATGATGCCATCAACCGGCTTGATCTGGCAGGCTGTGGTGGTCGCATGGCCAAGCTTACCGTGCTCTCCGAGTCGGCTACCCATCAACTGGTGGACACGGTGAAGCAGATTCTCGCGACTCGGACCGACCAAGCCGCCGTCATAGCTCAACTGCAAGAGCAAAACACTCTCCTGCAGCAAGATCTCGACAGGGGTCGAGCCCAGCAAGATAACGCCGCCCAGTTGGCTCGCGACTACGATGACGTGCAAGAGCGACTGATGCACGAGCAGCGCCTGCGGGATGCCGAGGCCCAACGGTTTGCCGCCCAGATGCAGGCCAGGGATGCAGCCATGGTGCACCACGAGAGCAAAATGAAAGCGGCCCAGCAACGCATCGATAGTATCCGCACGGAGCGCGACCAGATGCGTCAATCGCATGCTGATCTCGTTGCTGAGCGCGAGCGACACCAAAAGCGCCTCGACCGTCTTTTTGAGGAGCTGCAGCACCGCAAGCTGCATGCCAAAAGCGCCATCGACCGACGTGTTCGCGACGTCATTGACCTCTATGATGGTCGCCTGCGTCAGCTGCAGCAAGAGTTGCGTGTTGCCCGCGACGCTTTGGATCGTCAGGCTTTGGCACCATCCCCTTCGTCGAATGTTGCACGTGACGCCGATGACTCTGCCCGCTCAATCGATGCGCGTATCGTGCACCTGCAGGCACAAGTCGACCACCAGAGTGAGCGTCGCCTGGCCCAAGAGCTCGCTTCCATGTCCCATGCCCTAGGCGCCGCCAAGGATGACAATGACCGCTTGCGCGCCGCGCTTCATACTCGTGATGAAGAATTAAACATGGCAAAGATGCAGCTCGAGAGTCTCCCCTCCCCAACTGTTTGGCGCCAAACCCAAGCTCGCTTACGGCGCCTGGAGGCACGCCAGACACAGCAAGCCACATCAAATTCACCATCCACCAAGAGTCCCGGAACCGGAAAAGATGGGCGCGAACATGACCCCCAATACTATCGCCTTCACCTTTACAATCTGCGCTCGCTCTCCGCCTCGGCCGCGCGTCAGCAGCTGGAGCGCCTTTGCCGGATCTGCGAAGTTGCCCCTTCACGCCTCGAAGCCACCCTGCGCCAATGGACTTCCGTCATGACGGCGTTGCCCGCTTATCTTGCTCACATGGCCAAGCTATCTGCCGTCATCAATGCATACCGGGAGGTTGTAGCCGGTCGTCAAGCCCACTTGGACCACGATGCTCTGGACCAGGCCCTGCGTGCCGCCGACGAGCGTGGGACTCTGACTCTCAGCGACCTGCAGCCCTTGGATGTGCCCCGGGCCGATCCAGGCCTGGCTGGCATCGTGGCGCGTGGTCTACACGAGCTCATGGGACTTCGTGCCACCGTCTCCAGTTATCATGCTGCGCTCGGCCGCGTTGCTCATATTGTCGGCCTCGATCCAGTCGCTGCCAACTCTCAATACACCGAGGAGCAGCTCGATGGTTTGCTTGCACATGTCACCGATCTGCGTGCCACGGCCAGCCAACTTGCAGCCGTACACGCACATTGGACGCAAGCTGAGGCAGCATTGGCGCAAGGTCCGGCACACCCCCAGGACAGCGCCGATCGAGTACAAGCGACCCTTCGTCATTGCATGCAACTGCTCGGGGTCTCATCTCTCTCGCAACTTGCCCCTGAAATGTCCCGCTATCACGCGGAAAGTCGAGCGTTGTACAATTTGGTGCGCATGTTACACGTTGAATCTGGCTTTTTTCACTCCGCCTTTACGTCGCCCATGGCAACCATTGAGGCCGTGCTGGCTCATCTACAGCAGCATGGACAGTCGGGCACCATTCTCGCCCGTCTCCAAGAGGTTGGCTTGCATTCCCACCCTGGCTTGTTTTGTTGGAATGTTTTAGAGGAGGAATGGGTGAGCTAACGTTTTGCTAACTGATGCTGGTGACCTGGTGGCCTTGATGGCGATGGCTGTGTCTCAGATTGCGGCCTGTGCAAATGCCGAGCAGCTGGTGCCACACTTGGAACACATGACAACTGCCTTGGCATCGACCAAAGCGCAGGCTGAGGAGTACCACCGCCATTTGTTGGCGGTTCAAGAGCTTCTCAATGCCCCCAGCCTTGACCAGACCCCTGCCAACTAATGGTTGCATTGGACCAGACTGCTGCGCTGGCTCAGCACAGCGCCAAAACCCAGCAGAAGCCCACGCGAGAGGTTGCTGCAGTCGCAACGTCGACTTCAACCTTGACCGTGGCTCCAACCCTGTTCACCAAGGCCAGCCAAACTGATCGGGTTGCAGTGTGCTCGACAGCCGTGCAAACTGAAGTACCGTCGATGCCTGAATCTGTAGGCACGAAGGATCTTTGTACATCTGGCCCGGTGCTGCCCGCCTCCCCTGCAGAGACCGGCGAGGAGGTGCTGCGGTTTCACACGTCCGATCTCGATTCCACGCCAACCACTAAGGTCCACTCTACACCCCACGAGCGGCTGTCTCATCTTTCGGCGCGCGACCATAGCAGTGACCTGAGTCCTCTTAATTCGCAGGCTTCCAGCGTGCATCTGGCGAGCCGTGAGTGGCTAGCTCATTCGCAGGGCAACACGCCCCATATGTCGGCGCTCTCGACCCCCGCCAGCAGTGTTGGCCTCGAGTCGGATGATCTGTTGACGGACGAACAAAGCGGCAGCATCCAAAAAGACGAAGAGCGGCCGCCTATTGCAACACCGGCAATGGTCGGTGCACAGACTAGCCCGACTGAAGCCTCTTTGGAGGCAGATCGGGGCGATGACTTCACAGGCGATAGCGCTCACATGGCCGCAGACTTGGACGATGACTTGCTTGCTCTCGAGGCCGAGTTGTTGATGTCAGCTTCAGAGGCTACGGCCACCTCAGCACGGACGCCCACAACAACGACAGATGGTCGTTCTTCGCGCCTTGCCGTTTTTGCAGATGTTGAGCCTCCAGCCACGCCCACCACACGCGCAGTGGAACCTCGGCAGCAGACATTATCTCCTGTGGCGCAGCTGACCCGTGGAGAGCACGCAATAAATACCAGCAAGCAACGCTCGCTCCCCCAGAGCCCCTTGGTCCAGACCCTACGCCTCAACAAGCTAGCACCTGGAAGCGCCGCCAAACAGTCCCCACATCCACTGAGCACTGTCACCAACAGGTGTGTTTGCATGGAATCCTAGAAGACCGGTCGTTGGTGAATCTCAGTGCGTGATGGTCAGCGTGCTCATGCACTTGATGTTTGTACTCAATCATATAGTCAACATATCGCCCGTGGCCACACCACAAGTTCAGGCCAGCACAGTCACGATCAGACAGATGCCTCCCCAGCCAAGCTGGGCACCTTTCGCCTTCTTTCGCCGTTTGATGTGTAAGTCTAATCCTTGTTTATGTGAGCTGTTCGACTCAGCGTGCGATGAAGTTGCCACAATTGCTTCCCGCTGGGTTTCGTGATAATCCCTGCCAAGTTCGTGACTCATGTGGTTTCTTTTCTCATGCTGATCGGGGACGATAGCTCCATCTTGCCGCGCTGAACAGGCCGTGGTATCACATGCACCATGTCAACCCTGGTGAATGTGTGAGGTTGACTTGCCAAGTAACATTGTGAATGTAGGCGAAGATGCTCATGATTATAATTATACGAACCATCATACTATCATGATATTCGAAGAATGAGATAATCACGGCCAGCGCGAAGGCTGTTTGCTACAATGATTGTCAAATCGTCGATTCGTTGTCTTCGATAAAAGCAACTAAGGGGAAACCTGGTGATAGTGTGGGTGCGCGGGCATGGCCATCGACTCTTGCGGGCTGATAATCAACAGATTGCAAGGCTTGGCCTCGCACAAAAGAGATTCAAGACTCGGGTTCTCAAAAGAAGTTGTGTGGAACTACATGAGCAAAAGGCAAGAGTTCGGGTCTTGCCTGGGGCTTGTAATACCCGGCTGGTGAGGGTTGGGCAGCCAGGCTTGTCGCTGCGCGCGGACAGGCATCAAGAGAAGTCTGAGTGGCTAGGCTATCTACGCGAGTACACGAGGCGGACGTCTCCTCGGTTTTAGACAAAAGGCTTGTCATTGCGCCCTCAGGCTTGTGGATAGGCTCCTTTGCAGCTGCTTGTGCGTGCATGCGCTCGGCTTCTGCAAGCTGGGCCTTTGCCATGCGCTCAGCTTCTGCAACCTGCTGGGCCTTTGCCATGCGCTCAGCTTCTGCAGCGCGCCTTTGGCGTTGCTGACCGTTGACAAAGCGCCATCGGTGCTGTAGTAGTGCCAGCGCCCTGTGCAAGGTGCCAACATATGAGTGAGGCTGGGTTGCGCAATCTTTGAGCCACGCGGTTGATTCGCTAGTTGGACCGTACCGAAGACGCGCTGCACGCAAGCGCTGCGCAACGCGCATGCGCCAGGCCGCTTGCAGACTACATGCAGCCTTGTACAAGACACCTTGTTGTGCGCGCTGAAGTGTCTCAAATTGCTCGTAGGTAAAGAACAAGCGCGTGCGGCCGACTAGCACATCACCGTCACTCGCACCAAGCTGAGCCTGTAGACGAGCAGCTGCCTCTTGCAAATTGCACGGCACGGGTCTGCAAGAGAGCATGGGCGCAAACGGTCGTGAGCATGGCTCACGAAACGACATGCGCTTGCACGACACAAGCTCACCGAATCAAGACAGGAAGTCGGGCTTGCAGTTGCTGCAGCGTGCACATCACTGGACGTCCATGTGCAAACACTTCAAGAGATTGGGGCACGCCGGCGGCTTCGAGCTGTGTGCGGACCTGGTACAGATGCGTTGCGTCCATCAAAGTGAGGCGAAAGAAGCGACTCTGGCATGACCACTCTTCTGTTGCAGTCAGCACCAGCATACCGTTTCTGGTTCAAAGTGCCACGCGGCACAGGCATCGTTTGAAGACATGCACCTGGTGATCATTCACAAGTGGCATATTAGGGTCATTTACTAGCAATACAGGGCTCAGGTCAAACTGGATGGTCTAAATCACTTACCGCAGATAGTGGCTTTGCACGGAGCTCAGATGTTCAAACAACTAGTTGAAGGCCCCGCATGGTGAGCAAGTCCAAGCGCGCATTCGCATTTGCATCCACTGACACAAGCAGTGATGACTTTCCGGTCGGGCGCTGCTAACGCACCTGGCGGAGAGACTTTTTGTAGGCCGAAGATACAGTATCAACGCGCCGTTGTCCAACCTTGGAGGTTGGGGCATGCTGCATGATGGCTTGCATTAGGCTGCAGCGTGTTGATGCCAACAAATCGACTAGGCCTGAAGCGGAGACGCCATTTGCGTGGTGAGAAAGAATTTGACTCTGTCATTTGGGGTGGGACCTTCTGCTCAAGTCTTCTGCTCAACCATTTCTGCTGATTGAACTCCGCAGAACAAACGCTCGCTCGCATGGCCTGGATTTGCATGGACACACCTTGATAGGGCTTGGCCTTGTTTTGAGCAGGCATGTCTAGAACGTCATAGTGAACACGGCCGGCGTAGTGGCGAACGGCAAAGGTTCCATCACGGCTACGGTCTTCCTGCAGCCAAGGGCCTGCGAGCCCGCGAAGACGCTCGGCAAAAGCTGCTTCATTCGACGTGGCTGCAACGCGCTTCAGCCTGGGCGCACCCATGACAAATCCGCACAGGAACCAGCAGCGGGCCGCAGGGTGAATGTGGCGTTTTCCACAAGAGCTTGCACAGCACAGTTTTTGGATGCAAGCAGCAACGCACCGGCTATCTTCGTCGAGCAAGTCTAGGATACCTCCCCGACCGGCCAGCAACGCCATGCAAGTTTCTTGCTTGAGCTGTGCTGGAAGCTCACAGATGCCCTCATCACGCAAGATCTGCGCTTGATTCTGTTTGACCAAACCGTCTTCAGTGAGATTATCCGCCCCATTGGGCCAGGTAACAAAGAGAGCATATTATACTCAAACCCACCTCAACCAGCTGATGCAAGTAGTGCTCTTGCAGTTGCTCATTGGCGAGATTAATGCAGAGCTGATCAAACCCATTGGTCTGACAGCGCTCAAAGCCAAAGATGTCCAGCAAGTCTTGAGTGTATTTTTTAGGACAGAGAGTGGAGAAGACATGGTGTATGAGAGGACAGCCAAACGTGTGCTCAACCCTTGCTTGCCATGCTGTCAGCAAGCTTTTGTAGACCAACCGATTGATGTCGCCTCTTCGGCCGCTGCGTGAGCCGGGCGCAGGGTGCTGTTGAGGCGGTCAGTGATAAAGCTGAAGAGAAGCTGGTATAGCTGTGTCTGAAGGCTGCTGATGACGACTCGAGCTTCAGCGACGGTTCGAGGCGACACAAAGGAGTCGCCTCGAACAATCATGGCGTGGTGATAAATGTAGATGGAAAGCTGCAACCCAGGTGAAAGGTCATTGGTGAGCAGGCCGTCGTCATCGGTGAGCTTGCCCGGCGAGGAAACTACAAGATACGAACCTGATGCGCATCAATCTGCAACAGCTTGGCAGCAAGCTGCACGAAGCGAGCGTCGACGGGAGCTTCAAGGGTTGCCAGGCGGATACAGCTGAGTGACACGATCGCCAGGAGCGTCTATGCTCAAGGAAAGCACAGACCCGTGCAAAGTGAAAGTCAATGCAAAGTGAGTGGGTAGAGAAAGCTTGCACTGTTTCTGTGCCTATTCCAGAGATGGTTTGACGTGGCGTGTACCTGAGCTACGCGGTGGACCTCGGTGGATCCAAAGCCCACACAGCCGAGTGCAGCCGTCAGTTCAGCCCAACCAGCTGCGCTTGCCTCACTTGCAGGATGCGTTGGGGGCACGATCGTTTGCTGGCTGTCAATATCATCGAGAGTGCCGCGTGAATTTGCACGTCAGCGTACATGGGCCTGCGTGCACTCATGGCGACGTACCTCCAAATGGCATCAGCATCGGCTTTGGACACAACATCTGAGCCCCAGGGCGCAAGCCCTTGCTCGTAGGCAGAGCGTAGTTGATGAAAGCAATGAAAGTTGTGCTCCCCGGTTTGCTGGTGGACCACACGACTGGTCTCCAGCAGATACACCTATGGGACGAGCAATAACATAGCCGGCACCAGATGATCACATGAGTCAACAAAGAAAGAACATGATACCGTTCAGTGGTGCCAGACAAATGTGCCAGCCTCTTGTCGAGGCTTCTCGGGTGCGCTTCGGGTGGAGTTGTACCTCAATAGACGCGCTGGATACTTGGGTTTGGTCGTTGCAGTGCAAGCGCAAATATTTGCCAAAGCGACTGCTGTTGGGGTTATTGACGGTGCGCGCGTTGCCAAAGGCCTGGAAGATAGGCCCGGTTGCTGCAACCTGATCTTGAATTGTGCTAACATTGGCGTCTGCTCCATTTTTTGTGAAGTCGCCCGAGAGTCGCTGTGCAATGTAAGTTACGAGGCGGCTCACCGAGTAGGTCTAAATCAGGCCAAGCCAGTGTGTGAGGACAAGCCTTGTTATGGGTGCCAGGGTGAGTCAGGCCGAGACTCTGACCTTGCCAGCTCCGGATTGACCGGAGAGAATGATAGCCTGGCGAGCATGCGAGGCTTGAAGCTGGCGTACGGCGCGCTCCGAGACTGTGTACAGGTGCACAGGAACGGTGTCCACTGGCAACCCAGGATCATGATGACACAGAGTTGAGGTAAGCATGTCGTTCCAGCGTCGCAATGATTGGCCGTGGCGAAATTGTGTGTGACACCTACACGAAGAAGCTTGTGCGTACTGCAACTGGCGATTGGCATCGCTGTCGTCAGCCTTATCTGCCTTGTACGGGTTGATGGCAATCACCGTGGGACCTGAACCATGCGGTCGTTTTTAGGTGAGAGGGATAGCAGCCAGCGCGCAGGGCCATTGGGTCTGAAAGCTGCAGCGCTTCAATTTGGCCTCACCAGCAGCCGTATAAATGTGCCCGCGTCGAAAACGGGCTTCCAGGTGCTCCACAACTAAAGGTGGCATCAGCGAGTCGATGACACCAGTGAGACGGGCTACCCTACCATACTGCCTTGCCAAATAGCGGGGATAGGCAAGCAAACTCACTGTTGTTCATGTGGCGCGGGGCAACACGAGTGAGGTCTTGCTCTTTCCAGGCATTGGCTTGAACGCGAGCTGGTGTGGCATCATGACTGGCGGGTCGAGGGCACCGCTCAGGTGTGGCTGGTGACACCACATTGGAGGTCTGTGGCGTGTGGCGCTCCTTCAGTGGCTCGCGACGGACTCGCGGGCGCACGGGAGGCTTGACCATCGATCGTGCCTTGGAACCGGGCATGATGGCTCGACTGGGGAACACAGCGACACAGCAACTGGCTCAACTCAAACTTTGCAACGACTGATTTTGAATTTCCGCGGGAAAACGAAGGTCTTCGGTTGTCAGAAATCCAATGTCAGATTTGAATCAATCGTCAGATGTGGTGCCACGTCAATCAACTGCCTTTTGACTTTTTATTTCTCTCTTGACTCTCTCTCTCTCTCTCTCTCTCTCTCTCTCTCTCTCTCTCTCTCTCTCTCTCTCTCTCTCTCTCTCTCTCTCTCTCTCTCTCTCTCTCTCTCTCTCTCTCTCTCTCTCTCTCTCTCTCTCTCTCTCTCTCTCTCTCTCTAT